CTGCCACTGATGTGCGCAAGGGCGTAGTCAAAGGCAGATAATTGGGCTGTCCCGAGAAACCCGTCAATTCAACCGTGTCTGTAGTCAATTTGGAGCTCGGTACTCGGCAATTCAGAGTAGAGTACCGTGCCCCAGAGTCCACAAGAAAAGGCAAATTCTTCTCCAACACCCCCAGTGACAAATAGGGGTCCACCAACCCCATGTCAGAGGTTTCCGGGCCCCTTCATGAGTCTTGCTGATACCGGGAACCCTCTTCCCTCTCAGGCCCTGGATGGTTGTTGCGGGGGTGTAGGGGATACTGCCCTCTAGGGGCTGTGGCAGAGTTTGGCGCTTGGTGACGTCCGTCACCCCTTGGTGGCCTATACCCCTGTTGCCGTGAATGCCCCCATTGCCGTGAATGCCCCCGTTCCTGTGGGTAATCGTCTGGGCAGTCTCTCGCCCAGTGCCCTCTTTCGCCACAATCATAGCATATGTCACGGCTGGGCCGTGGCCAGTAATTTCGTCCCCGTCCCCCAGCCCTTCCCCTCCCCGTCTGTAGCGTGGCGGTTGGTCATACATGTCCTGCTCGGGTGGGTACGCTGGCGCAGGAGGAGCCCCCGTCCGTCGCTGAAGCTGACCCTGCTCTGCCTCTGGTCTAGGTTGCTGTAACATTTGGCTGCTTTGTTTTGACAGTTTTTTATCTCCATTTATCTGACGCTGCTGGTTCTCTAATTGTAATTTCAACAACTGGGTTGTACCGATATCCAGATCAGCCTCACGTTCCCTCTTTTTTTCCTCTTCGAGAGACACAAAGTATGTTAAATGTTTTTCCCACCGGTCAGTGCTGGACCCTATTAGATCGGGATCCCCCCTCATTCGGTCTCGCACTGTTTTGGGCATACCATGTAAAATTGCCTTCCTGAATAATGATAGCTGTAATTTATCCTGACTAGGGTGATTCCCCGCTAGCTCCGTCCACTCCGTTGTGCACCTCAATAGGAATGCTGGCATGCTTTCTCTCTCATTTGGTCTGAATACCAGGGAGTGTAAGGCTCCCATTTCTACTGGGTATTTGTAGCGCATCACGCCGCCCAAACTGGTGGCCAGTGGCCAGAATAATTGATCATCAGGTGTGTTTAATGTGTTAGCGGCAAGCTCAATTTGCTGTAGCTCATGCGTAGGGAGTTGACGGCTAATTAAGCCTCTCCAATCCCCCATGCACAGAGTCCAGCTGTTTGTTAACTGACCAAACTTATCCATCCATTTACGCCCTCCGTCAGTGGGCAGGGGCATTTTTTCCACAATACTATTCATGTCTGTAAAGCTAAATGGTTGATACAACTTACTCCCATTACTTTTAGCTACTAACGGCATTGCATAGGCGGACGGTACGCCACATTCCTTCCCATTTGGGCCCAGCATTATATGGTCACCCTCCCCCTGTTGTTGAGATCGTGTGGTGCGTGTAGTGAGTGGCCATGTGCCCTGCTCATTCTGCTGTACCCTCTCTGTCTCTTCTCTGCTCTGATGAGATAAAGGGCGGGGTGTGGGTGGGTCACTACCGACGGTCATTGTTCCTGTTATATTTACTGGATATCTCTCTCCTATTAATTCCCTAAGTTCTCCCTCGGTCAGCCAATCCCCCGCCTCCTCTTCTCTCCTTATTTCTTCTGAGCTGTCATTGTCCTCGGTCTGTACTGTGCCCTGGGCTGCCTGACTTTGCCTCAATCTAATTCCCTGTAGTCTGAATGGTGATATCCCCTCCCTGCTCCTTGCTAGGTCAGGGTCGGGGGAGACGTGGCCATCTGACAGTTGGCCCTTAGTATGCTTATTATCATTGTTCTCGCGGGTTGTTATGGCTACGGGAGCGCCGACGCCTGTCTGAGTTGTTCTTATTGCCATCGGCCACCGGCTGCCACGGCGTCCCCTAGCGTTTGGTGCTGTTTGACCCCATCTAGTTCCGGTTGTGCTTCCCCCTGTGTCTTGCTGATGTTCGTAACCCGTATTCTGACCGATGTGTCTGGCTGCTGCATTTTGCTGTGTGTCCTGTATTAATGCCTCTAAATCCCTCTGTCTATCCTTCAATTCCCTCGTAGCTGTTGCCATGGTAATCCTTTGTTCATGTACAAATGATTCCCATTCCTGTCGTGTGACTGCGTCTGCCTCTAGTAAATCTGTGTCAAGGTCTAACGTCCCGCCTCTTACATTGATAACGGGGGCTTGGAGTCCCCCTGGTATGATAACAGTGTATGGGAAAGGAACTTTCGCGTCGGCTGTGTCGTCAGAGTCTGTGTCTGCGTCTGGCTGGGGGGCTGTTGGGCCTGTCGGCGAAACAGGCTCCGTCTTAGCCACTGCCCTGTGTATGTTTCTGTCCTTCGGAGCTTCTAGTGCTCGACATGTTAACGCTATTTTATGCACTAACGCTCTCCTCTCCTCTTTCTCCTCTAGAGTGGTTCTCCACTTCTTTTTTGTTCCCCAATTTTGCTCTCCCTCTTCTGCCTTGTGCTCTTCTAACTCTTTTAACACAGCCCTCTCGGCCTTCGCCAGATAGGGTGACAATCTATCCTGTACCTCGTCTCCTGGTATCTGTCCCTTCTCCTGGAGCCACATCCAGGTTACCTCGTAACCCTCCATTATCTCTCCCCGTGTATTCGGTGTACACCCTCTACTCAATTGGATCCTGATTCGTTCCCATTGCTCTCCTATGGTGTCCCCGTCCATTTTTACCCACTGTCTTTAACCAGTACACGCTAAATCAACAAAACAATTTTTATACACATACAGGGTCGGTGTGAATGACTCACGGTCTGCTCTCTGCACGAAATATTGCCCAGTGAGACAACCTTCTAGGCTGAAAATGATTTCAGTCCGGTCTCACCCGAGCTTCATGCAGGACTTTTAGACACACTTTCCCCGTATCCAACCACCCGTTTTTCCCCACAGAAAAATATTTCCAAATTGTTTTTTTTTTATTGTTTTTTTTTAAATTTTTTTAGCTTTATACCCCACAGAACAGGCGTTAGACGAGATTTATGAGAATCTCACGAAAAGTCTAACCCCTGGAACCACCCACACAATACAATATTCCTAAATCATGATTTTCGGGCCGTCTCCAACAGACTCCGGGAAATGATGATACCCTTGGGCTACTCTGGCTACCCTCTCAGAGTTCCCTCTTCTGGTCTTGCAAGGAACCAGCTACCTTGGGGCCGTATACCCCTTTATCCTCCGCCAATTGATGTACTTATGGCAAGGACGGGGCGGAATTTAAACCGCTGGATCTTGGTGGGGCTCTTCCTCCCCACTAGGGATTCCAGTCTGCGCGTACGTTTTCACGGGCGGCCCCCTGTTTGGCTACGTCCCAATTCCTATAAAGGAGCGTCCCTGGCTCTTTGTGGGGCTCTTCCTCCCCAACAGGATTCCAACCCTCGGGCGGTCTCTGCGTTCGTTAAACGACAGGTCCCCTATGCTGCACACTATACTGGTTTAGACTATGTCTAGGACGGGTATCACAAGTGACTTCAAAACAGTTTTGGTAATGCCCAATCGCAGAATTTTGTTATAACAGGCTTCTGCTTACCTTTTTTGTGTGGGCCCACGTAGTTCTGCTGTCACTCGGTCCTCTCGCCCACTGGGTCACTTCTTCGTCTTCATCACGTCTCGGGGTCACCAATTGTTGTGAAAGGCGGTTTCAAAGCGATGATGATGGAAAAAAATGAAACCCCTACTCACGCGTGTTCGTTAATGAAGCGATAGAAGAAGTTGTTTAGCTTTAAGCAATAATCAGTTTTATTGTTAACACCAGTATAATGTGCAGAGTTTTACAGATATATCTGGGTCCGACTACATTTCCCTGACCGAACAACAAAGTGTGTGTGTGTCAGTTCGCGAAGTCTGAGCCCACATCTCTCTATCTCAGGATGTTATATACACAAAACAATGCAACAGTCATCACAAAAAGGCTGGCTGTCTACGTTTCCCCATGTCATCCTCGTATTATCTGACTCCCACTGTTCTTTACATGTTCAAAGACAGCCTGCCTGTTCTTTACTATCATATGTTTATCACCATGTATTCTGCACATGTCACCAACAATGTACTCGTCATGATCATGTGGAGTTGCTTTTATAATTATATGCCTCTGCTTATATCTCATGATTCTGTCTTACTTCAGCAGAAAGGCACCGAGGTTAGTGTGACCCAATTCATTGGTCATCTGATAGATCTAACATATAACCATACCTTCAGTAAACAGTGTCTTCATAGTCACCACATGTCAAACCTCGACGACAGTGAAGTGTAGCGATTCTGAAATTTGGGTGAATTCATGGTAGCATAGCTGCCTTCCAAGCAGTTGACCCAGGTTTCATTCCCAGCCCTTGCAGTTATCTCTTTTTAACAATGCCATAGCTATTAATTACTTTCAAAATTGGGTGGCGGTACTTTCTGTGGTAAAGGACATCCACAAGACATAACATTGCCTAGGACACACATACATTTTCTAAATGGAAGGCACATCCATGAACTGAGCAAACCATGAGGATGGGATTCAAACAAAGTTTGTACTGTGCAAAATAATAGCAAGTGTATTGAATGTGCTCTAGAAAATATAAAAGCACAATCTATGGATCAAATGTAGGCAGAACATTATGAAGGAAGAAGTCCCTCGGTGCCTAGAGATGGTGTCGGACGGGCAGGGAAACTAGGTTCCATCGAGGTTTGAGCTCAGATCATTGGCTTCAAAGTGCAGACTGGTCACCATTACACCATGGAACCTGTACAGAAATCCCATATGTAAATAGTGGCTTCATAATAACCACATGTCAAACCTGGAGGAAAGTGAAATGCTGCAATGATTCTGAAACTTTGGTGAATTCAGCCATGAAATGATGTACTAATGGTGCAAACAATGAGGATGCAATTCAAACCCGCACGTGCAGAGCATAATGGATTAGCCACCCCATCGGCTGCAGTTGATATTATTTGCGTTTGGAGATATCATCACAGGGGGAATGGCATACTAGGTTCCACTGAGATTTGAACTCAGTTCATTGGATTCAGAGTCCAGCGTGCACACCATTACACCATAGAAACTGCTAAATTTTGTGTTAGGTAAATAGTTGATTCATAGTAACCATTTGTCAAACATGGACGAAAGTGAACTACAGCAACGATTCTGAAAACGTGGTGAATTCATGTAATAAGTGGTTACAAAGGTGGTATAGAGGTGAGCACAGCTGCCATCCAAGCGTTTGATGCAGGTATGATTCCTGGCCAATGCAGTAATCTCTTTTTAACAATGCCTTTGAAGACTGGGTGGCGGTACTTTCTGTGGTAAAGGACATTGTTGTGAGAGGCGGTTTCAAAGCGATGATGATGGAAAAAAATGAAACCCCTACTCACGCGTGTTCGTTAATGAAGCGATAGAAGAAGTTGTTTAGCTTTAAGAAATAATCAGTTTTATTGTTAACACCAGTATAATGTGCAGAGTTTTTACAGATATATCTGGGCCCGACTACATTTCCCTGACCGAACAACAAAGTATGTGTGTGTCAGTTCGCGAAGTCTGAGCACACATCTCTCTATCTCAGGATGTTATATACACAAAACAATGCAACCGTCATCACAAAAAGGCTGGCTGTCTACGTTTCCCCATGTCATCCTCGTATTATCTGACTCCCACTGTTCTTTACATGTTCAAAGACAAGCCTGCCTGTTCTTTACTATCATATGTTTATCACCATGTATTCTGCACATGTCACCAACAATGTACTCGTTCTGATCATGTGGAGTTGCTTTTATAATTATATGCCTCTGCTTATATCTCATGATTCTGTCTTACTTCAGCAGAAAGGCACCGAGGTTAGTGTGACCCAGTTCATTGGTCATCTGATAGGTCTAACATATAACCATACCTTCAACATCGAGAAGAAGCTAGGATACAATACATTTATAAATGGTAGGGTCAGCCAAGAACTGAAGTACTAAGAGTTCACCGATGAGGATGGGATTCGAACCCACGCGTGCAGAGCACAATGGATTAGCAGTCCATCGCCTTAACCACTCGGCCACCCCATCTGTGGCAGTGGGCACAATGTGTAAAATATTAGCGAGAGTATTGAATGTGCTCTAGAAAATATCAAAGAATTGAAATGGTGAAAAACAGTGGTTCAAATGTAGGCAGACTTTTGTACAGGAACAAGTGCCTGAGTGTCTAGAGACATGGTCAGAGCTGCAACATCAAACTCGTTTCCACTGCGTTCGAATCCCGTCCTATGCAGTTACACCTTTTTAACAATGCCACAGCTATTTTGTACTTTGAAAATTGGGTGGCCGGACTTTCTGTGGTAAAGGACATCCACAAGACATAACATTGTCTATGATATACAACATTTTCTAAATGGAAGGCACAACCATAAACTGAGCAATCCATGAGGATGGGATTCAAACAAAGTTGGTACTATGTGCAAAATATTAGCAAGTGTATTGAATGTGATCTAGACAATATAAAAGTGCAACTGAACTATGGTTCAAATGTAGGCAGAACATAATCAAGGAAGAAGTCCCTCAGTGTCTAGAGATGTTGTCGGACAGGCAAAGTGAAACTAGGTTCCACCGAGATTTGAAGACGGATCACTGGATTCAAAGCCAGAGTGCTCACCATTAAACCATAGAACCTGCTAAAATGGGACCTTTGTAAATAGTGGATTCATAGTAACCATTTGTCAAACCTGGACGACAGTGAACTGCAGCAACGATTCTGAAAATGTGGTGAATTCATGTGTTAAGCAATGGTGGCATTGGTGGTATAGTGGTAAGCATAGCTGCCTTCCAAGCAGTTGACAGGGGTTCGATTCCCGGCCAATGCAGTTATTTCTTTTTAACAATGCCACAGCTATTTAGTACTTTGAAAATTGGGTGGCCGGACTTTCTGTGTTAAAGGACATCCACAAGACATAACATTGCCTATGATATACAACATTTTCTAAATGGAAGGCACAGCCATAAACTGTGCAATCCATGAGGATGGGATTCAAACAAAGTTGGTACTATGTGCAAAATAATGTATTGAATGTGATCTAGAAAATATAAAAGTGCAACTGAACTACGGTTCAAATGTAGGTAGAACATTATGAAGGAGGAAGTCCCTCAGTGTCTAGAGATGTAGTCGGACAGTCAAAGTGAAACTAGGTTCCACCGAGATTTGAACTCGGATCACTGGATACAAAGTCCAGAGCGCTCACCATTACACCATGGAACCTCTTATATTGGCTTCTATGTAAACAGTGTCTTCATAGTCACCACATGTCAAACCTCGACGACAGTGAACTGTAGCGATTCTGAAATTTGGGTGAATTCATGGTAGCATAGCTGCCTTCCAAGCAGTTGACCCACGTTTCATTCCCAGCCATTGCAGGTATCTCTTTTTAACAATGCCATGGCTATTTAGTACTTTGAAAATTGGGTGGCTGGACTTTCTGTGTTAAAGGACATCCACAAGACATAACATTGCCTATGATATACAACATTTTCTAAATGGAAGGCACAGCCATAAACTGTGCAATCCATGAGGATGGGATTCAAACAAAGTTGGTACTATGTGCAAAATAATGTATTGAATGTGATCTAGAAAATATAAAACTGCAACTGAACTATGCTTCAAATGTAGGCAGAACATTATGAAGGATGAAGTCCCTCAGTGTCTAGAGATGTTGTCGGACAGGCAAAGTGAAACTAGGTTCCACCGAGACTTGAACTCGGATCACTGGATTCAAAGTCCAGAGTGCTCACCATTACACCATGGAACCTGTTATCTTGTCTTGTATGTAAACAGTGTCTTCATAGTCACCACATGTCAAACCTCGACGACAGTGAACTGTAGCGATTCTGAAATCTGCCTTCCAAGCAGTTGACCCAGGTTTCATTCCCAGCCATTGCAGGTATCTCTTTTTAACAATGCCATAGCTATTAATTACTTTCAAAATTGGGTGGCGGTACTTTCTGTGGTAAAGGACATCCACAAGACATAACATTGCCTAGGACACACATACATTTTCTAAATGGAAGGCACATCCATGAACTGAGCAAACCATGAGGATGGGATTCAAACAAAGTTTGTACTGTGCAAAATAATAGCAAGTGTATTGAATGTGCTCTAGAAAATATAAAAGCAGCACTGATCTATGGATCAAATGTAGGCAGAACATTATGAAGGAAGAAGTCCCTCGGTGCCTAGAGATGGTGTCAGACGGGCAGGGAAACTAGGTTCCATTGAGGTTCGAACTCAGATCATTGGCTTCAAAGTGCAGACTGGTCACCATTACACCATGGAACCTGCACAGAACTCCCATATGTAAATAGTGGCTTCATAATAACCACATGTCAAACCTGGATGACAGTGAACTGCTGCAATGATTCTGAAACTTTGGTGAATTCAGCCATGAAGTGATGTACTAATGGTGCAAACAATGAGGATGCAATTCAAACCCGCACATGCAGAGCATAATGGATTAGCCACCCCATCGGCTGCAGTTGATATTATTTGCGTTTGGAGATATCATCACAGGGGTAATGGCATACTAGGTTCCACTGAGATTTGAACTCAGTTCATTGGATTCAGAGTCCAGCGTGCACACCATTACACCATAGAAACACCTAAATTGGGTGTTAGGTAAATAGTTGATTCATAGTAACCATTTGTCAAACATGGACGAAAGTGAACTACAGCAACGATTCTGAAAACGTGGTGAATTCATGTAATAAGTGGTTACAAAGGTGGTATAGAGGTGAGCACAGCTGCCATCCAAGAGTTTGATGCAGGTATGATTCCTGGCCAATGCAGTAGTCTCTTTTTAACAATGCCTTTGAAGACTGGGTGGCGGTACTTTCTGTGGTAAAGGACATCCAGAAGAAGCTAGGATACACTACATTTTTAAATGGTAGGGTCAGCCAAGAACTGAAGTACTAAGAGTTCACCGATGAAGATGGGATTCGAACCCACGCGTGCAGAGCACAATGGATTAGCAGTCCATCGCCTTAACCACTCGGCCACCCCATCTGTGCCAGCGGGCACAATGTGTAAAATATTAGCGAGAGTATTGAATGTGCTCTAGAAAATATCAAAGAATTGAAATGGTGAAAAACAGTGGTTCAAATGTAGGCAGACTGTTGTAAAGGAACAAGTGCCTGAGTGTCTAGAGACATGGTCAGAGCTGCAACATCAAACTCGTTTCCACTGCGTTCAAATCCTGTCCTATGCAGTTACACCGTTTTAACAATGCCACAGCTATTTAGTACTTTGAAAATTGGGTGGCCGGACTTTCTGTGGTAAAGGACATCCACGAGACATAACATTGTCTATGAAAAACAACATTTTCTAAATGGAAGGCACAGCCATAAACTATGTGCAATCCATGAGGATGGGATTCAAACAAAGTTGGTACTATGTGCAAAATAATGTATTGAATGTGATCTAGAAAATATAAAAGTGCAACTGAACTATGCTTCAAATGTAGGCAGAACATTATGAAGGATGAAGTCCCTCAGTGACTAGAGATGTTGTCGGACAGGCAAAGTGAAACTAGGTTCCACCGAGACTTGAACTCGGATCACTGGATTCAAAGTCCAGAGCGCTCACCATTACACCATGGAACATCTTATATTGGCTTCTATGTAAACAGTGTCTTCATAGTCACCACATGTCAAACCTCGACGACAGTGAACTGTAGCGATTCTGAAATTTGGGTGAATTCATGGTAGCATAGCTGCCTTCCAAGCAGTTGACCCACGTTTCATTCCCAGCCATTGCAGGTATCTCTTTTTAACAATGCCATGGCTATTTAGTACTTTGAAAATTGGGTGGCTGGACTTTCTGTGTTAAAGGACATCCACAAGACATAACATTGCCTATGATATACAACATTTTCTAAATGGAAGGCACAGCCATAAACTATGTGCAATCCATGAGGATGGGATTCAAACAAAGTTGGTACTATGTGCAAAATAATGTATTGAATGTGATCTAGAAAATATAAAAGTGCAACTGAACTATGCTTCAAATGTAGGCAGAACATTATGAAGGATGAAGTCCCTCAGTGACTAGAGATGTTGTCGGACAGGCAAAGTGAAACTAGGTTCCACCGAGACTTGAACTCGGATCACTGGATTCAAAGTCCAGAGCGCTCACCATTACACCATGGAACATCTTATATTGGCTTCTATGTAAACAGTGTCTTCATAGTCACCACATGTCAAACCTCGACGACAGTGAACTGTAGCGATTCTGAAATTTGGGTGAATTCATGGTAGCATAGCTGCCTTCCAAGCAGTTGACCCACGTTTCATTCCCAGCCATTGCAGGTATCTCTTTTTAACAATGCCATGGCTATTTAGTACTTTGAAAATTGGGTGGCTGGACTTTCTGTGTTAAAGGACATCCACAAGACATAACATTGCCTATGATATACAACATTTTCTAAATGGAAGGCACAGCCATAAACTGTGCAATCCATGAGGATGGGATTCAAACAAAGTTGGTACTATGTGCAAAATAATGTATTGAATGTGATCTAGAAAATATAAAACTGCAACTGAACTATGCTTCAAATGTAGGCAGAACATTATGAAGGATGAAGTCCCTCAGTGTCTAGAGATGTTGTCGGACAGGCAAAGTGAAACTAGGTTCCACCGAGAATTGAACTCGGATCACTGGATTCAAAGTCCAGAGTGCTCACCATTACACCATGGAACCTGTTATATTGGCTTGTACGTAAACAGTGTCTTCATAGTCACCACATGTCAAACCTCGACGACAGTGAACTGTAGCGATTCTGAAATCTGCCTTCCAAGCAGTTGACCCAGGTTTCATTCCCAGCCATTGCAGGTATCTCTTTTTAACAATGCCATAGCTATTAATTACTTTCAAAATTGGGTGGCGGTACTTTCTGTGGTAAAGGACATCCACAAGACATAACATTGCCTAGGACACACATACATTTTCTAAATGGAAGGCACATCCATGAACTGAGCAAACCATGAGGATGGGGTTCAAACAAAGTTTGTACTGTGCAAAATAATAGCAAGTGTATTGAATGTGCTCTAGAAAATATAAAAGCAGCACTGATCTATGGATCAAATGTAGGCAGAACATTATGAAGGAAGAAGTCCCTCGGTGCCTAGAGATGGCGTCGGACGGGCAGGGAAACTAGGTTCCATCGAGGTTCGAACTCAGATCATTGGCTTCAAAGTGCAGACTGGTCCCCATTACACCATGGAACCTGTACAGAACTCCCATATGTAAATAGTGGCTTCATAATAACCACATGTCAAACCTGGATGACAGTGAACTGCTGCAATGATTCTGAAACTTTGGTGAATTCAGCCATGAAGTGATGTACTAATGGTGCAAACAATGAGGATGCAATTCAAACCCGCACGTGCAGAGCATAATGGATTAGCCACCCCATCGGCTGCAGTTGATATTATTTGCGTTTGGAGATATCATCACAGGGGTAATGGCATACTAGGTTCCACTGAGATTTGAACTCAGTTCATTGGATTCAGAGTCCAGCGTGCACACCATTACACCATAGAAACACCTAACTTGGGTGTTAGGTAAATAGTTGATTCATAGTAACCATTTGTCAAACATGGACGAAAGTGAACTACAGCAACGATTCTGAAAACGTGGTGAATTCATGTAATAAGTGGTTACAAAGGTGGTATAGAGGTGAGCACAGCTGCCATCCAAGAGTTTGATGCAGGTATGATTCCTGGCCAATGCAGTAGTCTCTTTTTAACAATGCCTTTGAAGACTGGGTGGCGGTACTTTCTGTGGTAAAGGACATCCAGAAGAAGCTAGGATACACTACATTTTTAAATGGTAGGGTCAGCCAAGAACTGAAGTACTAAGAGTTCACCGATGAGGATGGGATTCGAACCCACGCGTGCAGAGTACAATGGATTAGCATTCCATCGCCTTAACCACTCGGCCACCCCATCTGTGCCAGCGGGCACAATGTGTAAAATATTAGCGAGAGTATTGAATGTGCTCTAGAAAATATCAAAGAATTGAAATGGTGAAAAACAGTGGTTCAAATGTAGGCAGACTGTTGTAAAGGAACAAGTGCCTGAGTGTCTAGAGACATGGTCAGAGCTGCAACATCAAACTCGTTTCCACTGCGTTCAAATCCCGTCCTATGCAGTTACACCGTTTTAACAATGCCACAGCTATTTAGTACTTTGAAAATTGGGTGGCCGGACTTTCTGTGGTAAAGGACATCCACGAGACATAACATTGTCTATGATATACAACATTTTCTAAATGGAAGGCACGGCCATAAACTGAGCAATCCATGAGGATGGGATTCAAACAAAGTTGGTACTATGTGCAAAATAATGTATTGAATGTGATCTAGAAAATATAAAAGTGCAACTGAACTATGGTTCAAATGTAGGCAGAACATTATGAAGGATGAAGTCCCTCAGTGTCTAAAGATGTAGTCGGACAGGCAAAGTGAAACTAGGTTCCACCGAGATTTGAACTCAGATCACTAGATTCAAAGTCCAGAGTGCTCACCATTACACCATGGAACCTGTTATATTGGCTTGTATGTAAACAGTGTCTTCATAGTCACCACATGTCAAACCTCGACGACAGTGAACTGTAGCGATTCTGAAATTTGGGTGAATTCATGGTAGCATAGCTGCCTTCCAAGCAGTTGACCCAGGTTTCATTCCCAGCCATTGCAGGTATCTCTTTTTAACAATGCCATGGCTATTTAGTACTTTGAAAATTGGGTGGCTGGACTTTCTGTGTTAAAGGACATCCACAAGACATAACATTGCCTATGATATACAACATTTTCTAAATGGAAGGCACAGCCATAAACTATGTGCAATCCATGAGGATGGGATTCAAACAAAGTTGGTACTATGTGCAAAATAATGTATTGAATGTGATCTAGAAAATATAAAAGTGCAACTGAACTATGCTTCAAATGTAGGCAGAACATTATGAAGGATGAAGTCCCTCAGTGACTAGAGATGTTGTCGGACAGGCAAAGTGAAACTAGGTTCCACCGAGACTTGAACTCGGATCACTGGATTCAAAGTCCAGAGTGCTCACCATTACACCATGGAACCTGTTATAGTGGCTTGTATGTAAACAGTGTCTTCATAGTCACCACATGTCAAACCTCGACGACAGTGAACTGTAGCGATTCTGAAATTTGGGTGAATTCATGGTAGCATAGCTGCCTTCCAAGCAGTTGACCCAGGTTTCATTCCCAGCCATTGCAGGTATCTCTTTTTAACAATGCCATAGCTATTAATTAC